AATTTTTCTATCGAGAAAAAGTTATATCGCGATACATATCGTTATCGTTCTATTGCCCAGTTCTATTGTTAACATATGAATACATAAAAATAGAGACAAAATGCAAAAATTTCAGTCACTAAAAGTGGTCCACAGACGTCTTGGATGATCTGTTAGTAAAGTTAACCAAGACATGTTATTAGTCATATTAAAAATACTTTGAATTCTCTTGAATTAGTTGACCTGTCACTCAAAGCACGCGTGGCCCTACTAATGCATAAATTTGAGCCTTAAGCCTAATAAAGTTTTATACCCTGTGCCGTTGCCTTGAAGAGAAAATTACCCAAAGAAACTGAAACAATGTTTTATACTTGGCTGATAAAATGCTTATTTTGGTTTTTAAGTTCAAGAGAAATTGGCTTGCTTTTAGAGTCTGCCACAAGTGGCCATCCAAGGAACTGCATTTTTTTGCACTGTGTTGGGCCTCGTTTTATTACTAAAGTCTGGCACTTAGCTTAAATAAGTACATAAGTAAAAGAAAAGAAAAAAGATCTAAACTAAAATTTTCATAATCTAGCTGATTTCACGCCATTTTAGCATAAAGAGACACTCAAAGCTTGGCAAAACAATCTGATAATCAGAAGGTTAAGGTTGGTAAACCCTCTTTGGACAATTACTGTTTTGAATAGAGTTTTAATTGTTGGTCATAGTGACAAAGATTATGGACTAAATTTAGGGATTTCTCAGAATGGCTACGGCTAATGTCTTCAGCCTTGTTAAAAAATCGAGGTTACAAATCTTAATGGCGATGAACATTTTTGTTATGTTTCAGTGTACGTGAGGTCATGTGTGGCGATGTGTAGCGCGAAAGTTTGTCTTGATGTTTAGGGGCTCTGACTTTGATGGAAGCTTCTTGTCTGCCTATAGTGTCCTGCATGTGTGTGTGTTGGTGGAAGCATTCATTAGCTGCCCTGATTAAATCTCCCAGCCATTACTGCTCTGCTCCCCTTCTAAGCGGGTATTAATCAGCCTGACAGGATTTAGTGTCTGTAGGTGCAAAGCAACACAACAGGAAGCCTGCTTGGGTTTCTCTCTGTTCTTCTTCTTCTCTTGTGGAAGTTTTGAATGCACTGACATTTTTTATGTAGCAAAATCTTTGAATTCAATTTAACTTTTCAATTTCAGTTCATTTCAGTTTTATTTATACAGCGTCAAATCACAACAACCATCACCTCAAGGTTCTTTATATTGTAAGGTAGAACCTAAGATGTAATTGTAATGTGTTCTTTTTAGGTTGTTTATTACATTTTATAGGCTTCTGAAAAAGCCAAAGGTTTAGTAAATAAATCTTTTTCAGCAGTCTGCTTACTGTCAGAACTGTTTTTACATTTAATTTATCTCTGAAATTGTGCTGAGCAACATGTTGCTCTGCAGCAGCAGATTGCTCTGTAACACAGCTGCACTCATTCATGCAGTCTGGAAGCTTCCCACTAAAACCAGTGCCTTCCCATTTAAACTGCAGCAGGTTTGGACTTTTGCATCAAAATAGAATTTTGAAGTTTTGACTTGACAAAATGATCAATAATATTTTTTTTCCTCTTAATGCAGCCCGAATATGTAATTTCACATGAACGCTACATTCTGTATTTTCTTTGAATATTTTGATCCTACATACAACGGCATTAAGCTAATGCAGAAATTCCACAAACTGCATTTCCTTGAATGCTCAGTTGAGACGAGCTCCCAAAACAGATTGATAGCTAAAGGCTCTCTTATTAAAATAACCTGCAGAAACAAACATGTTTACATACTGGTATAAAAACCAGTTTGGGTTTTCATAGCTCATTTGTTTAGGGCCTAAGAACTGCATTTTCATGGGCGTGGCCAAGCTAACTCAGGCTGCGAGGAGCATTCCTGCCTTTTGGAAAAATATGCAACTTCTTTTAACCATCTAAAAAATAAAGTGGCTTTCTATTAGGGGTAGGGGGAGAAATTGATACAGCACAGTATGGCGATAGTTTGTTTGGTGATATTGTATCACTACAGAAAACTAAATATCAGTATTTTATTAGGTAATTCAAATATTCTAGGAACACTATGAACAAGAGGGCTCATCTCATTCACCAGCATTCTGAGATAATGTTAGCCGAGCAAACTTGAATTAAATCTGCTCACCTGCAAAACCATCCAACACACAATCCGAACGAGGTTGTAGGGACTGACTTCACTCATTGATGTTAAAATCAATCCATAACATTTATGTGAAGTGGGGGGGTTTTCACAGATTATTGGTTGATATTCTGTCTCTCTCCATTAGATTTAAACTTTTATAAAAATGTAGAGACTGTTTTTTTGTAATTGAGCAAACTTACAAATTCAGCAGTGGATCAAAATTAAAAAATGTTCCCACTCATTCACAGACTGATATCTGACTGACTTATAACAGCATTTGGCAGGTTTTAGTAGAAGAAAAAACTGAAATGAAATAACTTTATCTTATTGGATAAAACAGAAACTGAAAAAGTTTGGACTTCATTTACATAATTTGCAGCTGAAAAACATGATAAATTGCAATACTCAGCATATTGCAAAATTCTTAAATCGCAATAATGTCATATTTTGAGTACTTTGATAATACTTTCTGTGTACTTAACTGTACTAACAGCCTTTCTAAGAAGTCAAAGTTCTAGTTGTGCTGAGTGAAGCTGTATTCATTTGTATGCTACATACCATTAATTAGCAGGTATTTCCTGTAGCCATTAATCTGAAGTAGAGAGCTTATGCCTGACTCTTCATGTCTCGAGGGGCTCGATGGCTGATGCTAATGTTACCAACACTTGCCAAGGGAGCAACCTCAAGGCTGCCGAGTGTTCAGCTCGTCTGTTGGCTGATATCTCCACACCTCTCCTCATAGCTTCAGGTCTGCCCTCGCAACATAAACATATAATCTGCTCTTAGCAACTTATTAGAGTATAACCTTTCCTCTGCGCAACCCTAGGGACTTAGTTTGAGCTTAGAGGGATCACCATGGAAACAGCAGAGTTTTGAGCAAGCCAGAACACAGAAGTGTCAAAATCATCATCCCCCGACTCCAAACGGCAAAACGGTGACCTGAAGAGACCACAAGTGGGGATGAAACGCACCCCTTCCTTAGAGGCCACAGCTGCACTTACCTGTCATAGTTTGAAATTTTAAAAAAAAGATAGCGGACAGCTGTGAGCAAATCGAAGACTTCCCAGTAAATAACTAAATTGCAATAAAAGTGATGCTCGTCCTTAAACACGTTCAGATGGTAGCCTGTTTGATGAATTGCTGGTTCTGTCACGTTTTATCACTTCAAAGTGTAATAGAAATCAAACATATCAGTGTCTTGTATTGTCAGCAACGGCGGGTCCATTTGGTTTTATTGCACCGAGGTTTTCTTTGCTGTCAGCTCCATAAAGAGTACTGTACACCTTTAAGATCAGCTCCCTTCAACCAGTGTATGGTCAGCACTTCCTTTGGGGATATGCACATCAACTTAGGATGCAAGCCCAGACAAAGTATTGACAGTGATGTCTTTATTCAGTTTTTTTTCATGTTTTTTACCCTTTAGATAACAGACTGACCCAGGGGAAGCAGGCTGGGGAAGAAAGTGGAGGAAGGAAGGCTGCTTGACTAAGGGTATATGGGAGGTAGCATAAGGCCTTGTGTTGGCAGCAGGGAGGAAGCGGTTGTAGTCCAAACTGTGTTCAAACCTTTAACCCACTGATTGGTTTTATGCTGCGGCTGCCAGAGTGCTGTCAGCAAGAGGAACACAGTGAGTGATGGGGTAGGGATCCTGCTTACTCTGTCTCTGCAGACCTCTGCTCTCACTTAGCTTTAATTACACTGACCAGAGTGGAGAATTTACACCAGTCAGCCTCTCTGCTCTCTTGTCACCCTGCTTGATTCTTTTATCTTTCCCTGCAGAGTTTCAGAGTATGTGGGACGATGAATCGCAGCATCCTCACCGACGCTCTGTTGACTGTGCTCACGTTTCTGTGTTCTCTCTCCAGACGAGGTGACGATGGAGGAGGTCGGCGATGCTGCCCAGCTGAGGGCGGGAGAACTCATCATCATCGTAGTGGTGCTCGTAATGTGGGCAGGTAATATTTCTGTTCAGCGATGCACATTTGTCACCACGGACCTCGTAGGAATCCACTGTCTTTGGGCAAATGTTCCTGTTAAGAGAAACAGTGGCTGCGGTATCATCCCTCTGTAATGAGTGCCAGACGCCTGCAGGGACTTCGAGATGATGTAAAGATAGCTAGTGTGAATTTGGGCGGTAACGCATCAAATCCAAGTCTCAGTTTGATAAACTCATCAACAGGAAACAACTGCAAAAAATAAGCTAAAGGCTTATCAGCAGACAAGCAGCTCTTATAGGAAAATGCTTATCAAAGATGTGTTTATTTAAAGCAACATACATACTTCCTTTATTATGTTATAAATGGTGCTGGTACATAGCAAGTCTCCTGTTATTATCAAACCTGACTGCTTCCTTAATATTCCCATGACATGGATAATGCACGTAAGATGGACTGGTACTTATTTATGGTACCTTTCTATTCAGTAAGTGTTTGTTATTACAAGTCTCAATCATTAAAACACAAATTCACACATTCAATTTAATTCAATTTCATTTATACAGCGCCAAATCACAACAACAGCCACCTCAAGGTGCTTTATATTGTACGGTAGACCCTATGATAATACATACAGAGAAAAACCCAACAATCATATGACCCCGTATTAGCAAGCACATTGGCGATAGTGGGAAAGAAAAACTTCCTTTTAGCAGGAAGAAACATCCGGCAAAACCAGGCTCAGGGAGGGGCGGGGCCATCTGCTGCAACCACTGGGGAGTAGTGATGGGATTTCCGGCTCTTTTTAGAGAATCGGCTCTTTCGGCTCGGCTCACTAAAAAGAGCCGATTCTTTTGGCTCCCAACCTGCTCTTCAGGTTGTTTTGTTGTTTTAATTAATTTATTATTAACGACAATATAAAATTATACACAAAAGGAATTACTAATGCAAAAAAATGTGGATTTATTTATATATGTTTATATATAAATATATGCGGTGGCCCCTTGAGACAAAGCACGTACAAACTCCAAAACACACTTCTAGCGTTAACTGAACTTCCAAAACAGAGCTACCTAGATCACTTAAATTACACAATTGAAAGCATATATGTATTGTTTGTGTATTTATACACAAGCACTCATATATATTCAAATAATTCAAAAAAAAGTTCATTTACCTGTTACTACCACACACCAAATCCGGTCGTTGGTACTTCCTGGCGTGTGTAGCCACTAGGTAACAAAAGCTTTTACATGTTTTGAAAGAGTGAAGAGAGTGCGAAAATGCGAGAGAGAGGGTGAGAGAAAGGAGCCAATAAGGAGTCGGCTCACGTCGTTCTCTTCAAAGAGTCAGCTCTAAGAACCGTTTCGTTTGCGGCCGACACATCACTAGTGTGGAGAGACCGGTCTCCCCAACCAGTCACTGTATTCCAGTGGATACAATGGTGTGTGTCAGGATTTATTACCGGATACGTTGGCACGAGGACTGTAGGAGTCAGGGATCGATTCCCGGCAATCTATAACCACCCGTCTGTAAAACATTGTCCAGTAACAAGACTAAACTTACAGCCCTGCTAGCAGCTCTGTGATGATGCTAACCTTAATGCTGCTTCAAACTAAATGCTAACATTAGGATTCTACCATATTTACCATTTTCACCATTTTGTTTTGACCTTGCTTCTATGCTAAATGCTAAATGTAAAGCACTGATGGTTCTGCTAGATTACATGTCAAAAGATCTTTGACATTGTGACGGTGAGACAGTTTGCTTGAAATCAGTTGAAATCATCATGTGAGAAGGAAAATT